CTTAAAGAAACAGCATAATTAAATAAGAGAAAGTGTGGCAGGCCAAAATTCTAAAAGGAATATAAATGCAGGCCTGACAGTAAGATTCTAGTCTTAATAAAAATTATCCAAAGTTAAATATTGTTTGATTATTTTAGGTTATTACTGTGTAGTGTATTTATGTGCAGTTATTTTTGCTTTCTTTGTAAATTACAAAAGTCCTTCAAGGGAGTATTTCCAATTCAGAATTACTGTTTCGTCCTAGTCTTCAAATAATATCTTTTTTTGGGGGGGGGGAATCTTTACTCATTTACAAATAATAGGAAGTAATAATAGCTGATTAATAACAGTTTGGAATATTTTCTGGAATACATCCTATTGAATAATACTCATTGATAAGTAAACACACCATTTCTTCATGGGTTATATTGTAATATGTCTCTTCATTTTAGTCAGTTAACTTGTCTAGATACTTGCATTGGAAGGAATTGAAAAAGGTATTTTGAATCTTAATCTATGATAGTTTCTGATTCTTAAGTTCTTTAGAAGAAAAGAGAAATCCAAAGATGAAAACAAGAGGCTGTATTACAGTTAGGCATGCAACTTGATCAGAGGTGGGACTCAATTTTTTTTTAATACTGGTTTTGTGGGTATGGCATAGCTTGGTGGGCATAGTTTGGTGGGTGTAGCAGGGGAAGGATACTGTAAAATCTCCATTCCTTCCCCACTCCAGGGGAGGGTTAATTCAAAATCCCCATTTCTACCGGTTCTCGGAACTACTCAAAATTTCTGCTACCATTCTCCAGAACTGGTCAGAACCTGCTGAATGCCACCTCTGTACTTGATAGAATTTCTAATGTGATGCTTCTGGTGATACGCTATATCTTCTGAGTACTCTACAAAGATTATATTGGATTAATAGCATTTTACGTTCACAATCTCTTTAGCTGTCATTCAACTAGAAAAACCATTTTTTAATCAGTGAGAAAAGTGTGATTCAAGAAATCCCTCTGGTAGCACTTTCTAAAGACAAACTATATTTTGAAAGGAAGAGACCAGATCAAAAGAATTTAAGTCATTCATTTACAAACTGGTATATTCCCTTGCTTTCATATCTGAATGTACCAACCATATAAAGAAATGCATTTTAAAAATGAGAATATGTGGTTTTCTTTCTACCAGAGTGGAAATAAAGTGTCCATATCCACGACACCTTTTGAGAACACATCAATCAAATTGGGACCAGCTCGGAAGGCCAGGTATAAATCAAAAATGGCTAGAAGGAACAAGAAAAACAAAACAAAAGATGGACAGGAAAGGTTTGTAAAATTGAAGTCATTTATAATAATAACTGTAGTATGGGTAAATAAATGTTATTTTTATGTTACAAAAGTTACATGCTATCAAGAATGGATTATATCCAGAATTCCTCAAACTATAATTAAATGTTCGTTATCGTGCTTTAATTTTCTACCCCGTTTCTTATTATTTCTTGTATTTTATTAAAAATAACTCTTATTTATAACTTAATATAAATAATGAACTAATGACCCCTTATTGATTACATTTGGTTTCTATGGAGATTCTCAGTCATCCAGGTTATGGTTGTCCCAGAGATGCTTTTTCAAGAGGCAACTGGACTTTCTTCAGCTGAAAAAGCTTCTTGGATGAGAAGCAAAACGTCTTCAAAGAAAAAACCAGAAAGTTCCAGTTGCCTCTTGAAAAAGCACCTTTGGGATCTCATTGGGTTGCTTCTCTTGCTAGTGATTACCCTTATTTTTTTATTTTTCCAGTAAGAAGAAGAGCTCATTATTCAGGAAGATTACCAAGCAGGCCTCCCTGCTTCACACAAGTAGAAGTTTATCTTCCCTCAACCGTTCTCTGTCATCTGGGGAAAGTGTTCCTGGTTCACCTACGCACAATCTTTCTCCTCGTTCTCCAACACAAGGTTACCGATCTACTCCTGAGCCTGCACATTTAGGTAAAAAAGGAATAGAAGGCAGAAGACTTGAATCAAATACTTTCAACTAAATGTGTTTTCTAAAACTGGAGGGTAGTGGGGGAATAAACCACACGAATTCTCATTTCTCAACAAGAAATGACAGCTGCAAGCCAATTGACAGTTTGTGGTGGCATCTTTAAGATCCCAGGAAAACATTAGCCCAAGCAACTAGTGAGGCTGGTTGCTAGTTGCAGGAACGGTACACAAAGGAATTTATTAATGTGAGAGTAATATATTAAGCTTTTAATATTTAAGAAACATAATATGTTAGATATCATGAAATACTATTTTAGGGTGATTTTTGCAACTTGTACTTTTAATTGCTATACAATACAATTGCTATATTGTCTTACTTTTTAAAATACCCGATTCACTTTTTAATATACCATATTTTTCAGAATAATAAGACGCACCAAGATTTTGAAAGGCAAATTAAAAAAAGGTTTTGCACTTTGCAGATCTCCCAAAAACGGCCTGTTTTTCGCAAAAACAGGCCTCTTTTGTTTCAAAAAAGAGGGCATGAATAGCCTTTAGAAGGCTTATAGAGTGTTCCTGGAGGCTGCGGGGGTCCGTTTTTCGCTCATTTCTGTCCTCCGCAGCCCCCAAGAGCACTCTTAAAGCCTCCTAAAGGCTATGTACGGCCATTTTGGTGAAGTGGCAGGGTTTCAGGAGGCAAAAAAAGTGCTGTATTCAGTGTATAAGATGCACCCAGATTTGCAGCCTCTTTTTTGATGGAAAAAGACTGAGTGGATGCATTAACAGTTAAAATTATAATATGTATATGAATAAACAATTCATTTGGAGGAAAAGTCCTTTTGTACCCCAAAGGTTAGGATATAATGTAGAGTATATAACCAATATAAATAAGCAGAAGAACTAGAATATGTAGCTGCTAATGAGTGTATTTTTCAAAAAGTATATTTAGTATGAGAAAAAAAGAAAGCCCTCCAAAAGACAACTAAGATATACTATAAAATAAATACTATAAAATGATATCAAAGTGCAGTGCTTTGATAAAGTATGGTTGATTACACTTTATTGTTTTGATTGCATTAGTCTTCATTTTTCTAAATTCAGCCTCACAATGCTTGTGATTTACCATTCTCCTCTTTTGATGTTCACAGTTGGTGGAAATTCTTCTCAGAGCAGTTCGCCTGGTTCCAGTGTTCCCAATTCTCCAGCTAGTTCAGGGCATATCAGGCCCAGTTCATTACATGGTCTAGCCCCAAAACTTCAACGACAGTATCGATCTCCAAGACGTAAATCAGCTGGAAACATTCCTCTTTCGCCACTAGCTCATACACCTTCACCCACTCCACAATCCACATCCCCTCAGCGTTCCCCTTCCCCTTTGCCAGGGCATTCAATTGGCAGTTCAAGCATCATGCATTCTTTTCCAGTAAAGTTACATTCCTCCCCTCCTTTGGCCCGGCAGATTTCTCGGCCGAAGAGTGCTGAACCACCAAGATCACCACTGTTGAAAAGAGTCCAGTCAGCTGAGAAACTGACCTCTTCCCTATCTTCCTCAGAAAAAAAGCTCCCCACTTCACGTAAGCATAGCTTGGATATTTCCCATTCTGAATTCAAAAAGGACATGCTTCAGAGAGATCTGGGTCTCCAAAGTTGGCAAGAGTCAATGAATGAAACATCTGGAGTTAAAGTTGGGCCAGCAGAAAAAGGGACACTCCAAAAACCTTCTTCCCGAAAACTTGGAGCCATTCGACAAGATAGGGTAGAAAGAAGAGAATCTCTACAGAAGCAGGAGGCCATTACAGAAGTAGATTCTTCTGAAGATGAAACTGATGAAGGGTCAGAAGATAGTCAAGATGGGAAAAGATTGGATAGGCCATCCTTCATTAGAGAACACCAATTTTGTAATCTTTTCACTGAGGATGTAAAGCCTTGTTCCAGATTAGAAAGCAAAGATAGCATGGAAGATGATGCTTTTCTTCCAGAAGAACCAAAAATGGGCAATGTGCAGAGAGAGGTAAATCAACCACAACAAAAAAATGTGGAAAGCTCATTGGTGACTGGCATAAATGAGTCCCAGTCTGAAATTTGTGCAAAAGCTTCCTCTACAGGAAAACCTGAGGACTTTGAACCAATACAGTTAATATCAAAATGCAAGACAGCAACAGAATCAATACAAGGTAAGAATGTTGTTGTTCAACAATGCACCTGTTTTAAAGATTCTGAAGATCCTAAGGAAATACAGATTGTCCAAAAAAGTACAGATGGTCCAGAGCAGACGAAGTGCCTCCCAGTAAGATTCCGACAGTTTGGTCAAGGTGACTGTTCAGAAATAGCAGGTGGCAAAAATAATACAAAGGAATCCGCTTCTGAAGAAGCCACCTATCTGTTATTTCATGACAAAATGCCTTTGTTAGCACTTGCTTCTTCTTGTACAACTAACACGAGCTCTCTTCCATTAGTAAGCCAAATAGACTGCGAAGACGCATCTCAGAATTGGGAGTATCAACCTATGAAGGATTGTAGTATTGAGAATCTGACAAACTTTGGCAAAACTTTTGAACAAATGTCTCCTAAAGTTGAAGAACAGGTTTTGTCTTCTGTAGTGGGAATTCCAAAACACAAAAGTCACCCAAGTGATAAAAACCTAAGTTGTCCTACAGGCAGTACAACATTTATGCTTGATTCCTCAATTGAAAGTGGAAAAACAGTTTGTCCCGCTCATTTGACAAGTGCAAGGAGTACTTTAAATGCAGTGGGATTGAACATCTCTAGCTCAAGAAAAGTAGAAAAAGATAGAAAAGATAAAAGCCTGTTCAAACAAGGCTCAAAGGAGACACTACTGGAAGATCTGAATCCAGAATCAACCAAAACATTCAATATAGGTGGCCTCATTAAAATTTGTGATTCTCACATTACATCAGAAAGTCCACTTTCTTGGGAGTCAGAATGTCAGATAATACCAAAACAGTTGCAGCCTGGTATATCTAACGCTTCTGAAATTTTGGAAGAGAGATGGCAACTACCTCTACTTGAAGTTCAAGCAGATGGAAATTGGAACATGAGGATTTCTTCTGGACCAGATGATAGTTTGAGTTCAAAAAAGGAGACTACTCTAGTGCCAGGAAAAATCAGTGAGGCTGGAGGTCAGTCCCAAACAAAAGACTTTCTGCGGTCAAAAGCTGATGCTGTGAAAAAGAATATAGCAGCATCTCCATTCAGAAACAAAGACAACATTAGTTGAACTCAAATATAAATCAAGAAACCTATTCATCTATTTTTTGTAGATTTGTGTTTCATCTTCTCACCTTTTTCCATTGCAATTCTATTTTTGTACACAGCGTTTGTCATTTAATCCCTCTTTACAGGGTATCTTTAAAGCAAAATCACCCTTCCTTTTCCTTTTAATTCTGAGCATCCTGTGCATTATCTTTTAAGTGTTCTCCCCCTACCTCCAAATGTCTGTTTTATTTACCATATAAGGCTGCTTGTTCAACAATGATACATTTTGACACTAGCTCCAAGTGTTTATCCTTATATCTAGTTTTTAATGTCATTACCTTGATAGGGATGAATAAATACAATTTATGGATTCTTTTACAATTCTTAATGCCACTGCACACCTTTTTTCTTACATAGTTGTTATCTCCCACAACTATCTGTGGAGGAAGCTTGTTAGCTAATGCAGTGGAGTAGTATCTTTTTTAAAGGGGCTCACTTGAGCAATCTGTCAAAATAAATTTTGGGTTTTTGTTCTTATTCGTTTTTTTCTGTTGCCTTAAAAATAGTATGACACTCCATCATTGGGGAATTTTTAATGTTAGTTGCCTTACCAATATTACCTTGCTCAGAGCAAGCAAATATTTAAAAAGAGGTACAAGGTACTTCCATTACTGTAGCTCTAAGTGTATTAGCAGCTCCCCTAGTTTTTAGCAGCTCCCTAGCACAGACATGGAGACGGTGAATATCTGAGACCATCCCACCTTAATCTGTGGCTTATGGTTGGTAGCAGAAGAAGTTAACATCCGGCAGGAAAGTTCTGCTTGGATTGGAACAACTGGTAACAAGATACTGTATTTATTGGTCAGGGAAGGGCAGAGATGAACCACTTAAAAGCAAAGTAGCCCTTATAGCTTCAATGAATAACTATTCAGGAAAAATCTCCAGTATCATGCAAATGAACTATATTTTAGTTGCTTCATTTACTTACATTTCCAAAATGCCTATGCTTTCTTAGAATCCTTTTGATACTTTTTGAGAGTGCAACATTGTTTGGTGCTTTTTAAAAAAAATAAAAAATAAAGACAGCTAAAACTAGAACACTGCACTGATACTATATACTCAGTAAAGCAATAGAACATTTCAAGATTATTACTTATTATCATTTAAAGGCAAAAGTAGGTATTTCAACCTCCCCCTGCAAAATACCTGTGAATTTAACTCTTTAACTCCCTTGTAACAGAATATATCTATATGTGTCAACAGACAAAATAATTACTTTTATGGTCTGAAAGCCTACATATGCTGAAGTGATCACATGGTGTATGAAATAATTCTCAAGGGTAAACCTTGTAGTGAATTATAGCTTCATTATTCTGCCATGTTGCCATGTTGCAGATATCAACTCTTCCTGCACCATTTCTGTTTTCAAAATTAGTATTTACTTTTTAACTGGGAACATTTTATTCTTTAAACTCTTACTAACTTCATCATCACATTTCAGGTATCTTGTATCCTCCCCACCTTCCTGCAATATTTAGTACCTAATTTTTTAACCTTGATTTCAGTTTTGGACCAACTTATTTTTGAGCTGGTATTGTTTTAACATTAACCACTCTTAAGTGCATGATGTGTGCTTGAATGCATGTAAAAGAAGAAACTCCCTGTGTATGCGGCAGTGCTATAAAAACCCTTTGACTTTTTCATATATTAACTTGAAGCTTCTGAATTTCTCCAATAATATTACTCATAATAATCTCATGAGATATAATTGTCTACTCATCCTGCCACTTATGCACATAACTAACGTTATGCACTGTCCTTCAGGCCGGTTTTTTTTTAAAAAAATATCCTTTGTGTTTTACAATTCTGTCACTTTGCTGTACTGCTCTCCAATAGACAAGTATATTTAGGAAAAAGGGATTGTTGCTAACATGAGCTGATGACTTAGCCACTTAGAACTTGAATAATGTAAACAAACAAGATTATAATTTACACTATATTAATTTGAGGCCTGGGTCATATAATGTACGTTGTAGTATTAGTATATACAAAAACAGCCAAAGGATTTGCATCTCTGTTTAGCCTACATAGGCTAGTACATGTATTATCATTTAGGTATTACCTTTTTGATATGCCTTTTTTACTATAACCATTATAACCTCTTAAAGGCTGCAGAAGTCTTTTCTTTCACCACTACTTTTCCAGCTATGGCTCTTTATTAATAACAGAGATAAAAAGAAAGGAAGTTCCATTTAGGCTCCATAGCAGAAAGGAAGAGAGAGAGGGGTGGGTGGGCAATTGTGACAATCACGATGCCACAGAGGATAAAATTCAACATCTTAAAAGCACTTGGAAGAATCAAGCCTGCAGCGCCTGTGGCATGTAACGGAGGAATAGAAAATATTGAGGGAAAGACATTCTCTCTATTTGTGATCCAGTTAAACCATTTGGTGATGACTTGGTTGGCCAAATTTCCATGTTTTATTAATATGATTTTAATAATTCTATTTTAGGCATAACATATATGAACTAACCATCTCAATACACTGTTTGACCGGTTCCTCTTTGTTTCGATATCTAAAGATCACTTTTTTTTCCTCAGCCAACCTTAAAAGTTTTCATATGCAGCTGATGTATTTGATAATACTTCACAGAATCCAAGATTACCAGATTGATATTTAGTGTAAATATTAGACTTTTAGCCTTGCTAAAAACCACTTCTGGAGAAGGATGCCTAAGGTTTTGTGGTAACGGTTATGCTACAAGAATGCTCACCATACAACAGGGTACGAGGAATGACTTGCGAGTTTTTTTCCTCATTATCACTGAATTAAGATGTGATTTGGAATTTTTTGTTTGTTATTTCCTGTGGGGGGAAGATACAGTCTTTCTCCAGTTCTGTCTTACGGACATGAAGGATAATGCTGTACTTCTAGTAGATGATTTTACAGCTCTGTGTGTGTTTACACTGTGTGTTGATTTTGGTTGTTTTGGAGGATGTGAACTCAGTTCCATGCTGAGTTGTGTTTTCAAGCTTGAAATCTGACAAGCAGAGGGTGATGTGGAATAGAACTGTTTTAGAAACTTGAATAATTGCCACATAATATAGGTGNTAAAAAGCCTAGCAAGCCCCTCTTTCAGCCCTTCACTTCTTCTCCACCAACATTGAAGCACGTGATCACTTTTTCTGTTCAGGACTCAAGCCATGTGGCCCTGTCCAACAATAAACCATCTTTCCAAGCAGCCTCCATGTCTCCAGTGTCTTCTTCCCCACTTGGAGCCGAACCCAGAAGGACATTTCTTTCATCACTTCCTTCCTTCCTTCTTTTCTTCCTTCCCCCTCTCTTCCCCCCTCCCTTTCCTCTCTCCCCCTCCCTCCCCTCCCCTCGCCTCCAGAGAGTGTAGCACTACATGGATACGACAGGAAAGTTGCAGGATTGAGATTGTGAAACTGCAAGCATTAGCAATGGCTCCCACCCACCCACCCATTATACTTTCATTCAAATAAGAGGATAAAAAGGGGAAACATAATCTGCTTTAGTGAGTGCGAAGACAAGACTAGCATGTATTATACATCATGATTCTGGATTATCTCCAGCAGAATATAAAAGCTTGTCGTCTTTGAGTTGCCTTTTAAGCTTCCAGTCTGGCTTGAACATAAGTACGTATTTGTCTCCCCCCCCCGGGGGGGGGAACAAATTAAGTACCACTAATGATTCCAATATCCTGGGGGGCAAAAAGGAGGGTATTTCACCCTCTGCCTGAAGAGCCGAGGCGCCTTGGAGGTGCCCAAGAGTTAAGCCAACTCCGCCTGGCACTGAAGGCGTTAAAACTGGGCCGGGGGGGGGGGATGACGCGGTTTGCGTCTGGGAGCTCTTGCCCCCCCTCTTTGCCTCTGCAGACACATTGAGAGACACACACAGAAAGGAGAGGAGAGGCCGGGCGAGCGGGATTCCTAGGGAAGCGCCAAGCCAAGCAGAAGCCACCATGACCGAGACCACCAAGACCCACGTTATCTTGCTGGCCTGCGGCAGCTTCAACCCCATCACCAAAGGCCACATCCAGATGTTTGGTGAGTCCCCGCCCTGGGCTCAGCCCCATCTCGCCCGGGGTTTTCCGACTGGTGCGCTTGAACGGGGGGGGGCTCGGGGTCCCCGGGGAGTGGAGGGTGGGTGGCGCCCGGGACTCTCCCTTGTTTGGGGATGGGGTCTCCTGGAATGGCTGCGGAGACTTAAGAGGGAGAGAAGGTCCGAGGGGGTCTTGCGCTGCGTTTGCTGTTGCTTACCCCGCGGTTCAGGGGAGGGGCGGCGGCTCCTATTGATGGGAATGAAAGCGGGGGTGGGGGCTGTTTGGAGAACACTTAGGAACGGCGTTGGAGGAGAGGAGGAGGAGGAGACCGGAGGGTCTTTAACCCCACCAGAGCGCTCCCCCAGGATGGGCGCAAGGCAGGGCAGGCGCTAGGCTGGGAAGGGCTCCCCAGAGAGGCTCAAGACGGGTGGGGTAGCTAGAGAGGGGGTTGGATGAGGGGGGGGGGGGGGGCAGATGGATTCTAGGCAGAAGAATAGTCCAGTAGCCAAGGGGGGGGGGAAGGGAGGGTGGTTGTCAGAGAAGTGGGGAGGCCTTGATGGAGCTGTCGTTCAGGGAGATCCTTCTCCTTGGGAAAATGTCAGCCTTGCTACCTGCCCACCTGCTTCTGACGCAGGAATGGACAGTGGAGGGGGAGGAGGCAAGAACTGGACCTCTTCAATCCTCCCTCTCCCCCCGACGCCACTATGGCATAAGCCCCTATTTACTGTTATGTGCATTTCAACTCTGATTTGCTCCTCTGGATGGAGAGTTGCTGGGAGTTTTAATCTTAACACTTAGCAGTGGGGAAAAAAAACCTGACTGTAGGATCCTTAGATGTGAAAATCAGGGTTCGTTGGCACCCCTGGTTTTCCTTTCTTTCAGACGTCTGCTGGACCTCTACAATGTGTCTTGTTACGCGTGAAAGGGCTGTAAACACAATTGTGTTCTTTATCACAGGGAGTTATTTAGTGTACTGGCTACGGGAGGGAGAGAGAATCAGGAGAATCAGAGGAGCATTTTATTTTTTTTATTA